GGGAAATTATGGCGAAGAACAGTAGTATATTTTTTCAAAATGTGTGACATTGACTAGCTGTACCACTCCTGATTTTGGAGTAACAGATTAGACCCTCATCTTCCAGGCTGCTACAGGGTCAGTATATTTCGTCATGTGGAAATTCAGCCTCTCTGTCTGTGAAGAGCAGTCCACTTGTCTTGATCTTCACAAACTCTTTCACTATCTCACACCATTGATCAATATAACCACCCTTTTGTTCCCAAGTTAACCATCATCCACGATAACATCCTCAGCTATAACGTAATGTCTCTGTTTTCTCATCTATGAAATAAGGGCGTCACTGGTTTGCAAACTTTAAAAGAAAAGAAAATAATAGGGAAACATTCTGTTTCCCCAAATAGAATCTTACCTAGACTTCCAAGAATCAAAAACAGATAAAAGCAGAAATGCTCTGGTTAAAAGTGGAGAGAAACAGTGGGGAAGCCAAGGACCTCACCTCCCTCAGCCTTCCTCCCTGCCACCTTCCCAAACCTCCAGATCTAACATTACAGGAGTGAGTAATTCCCAGGTACATCAGTATTTCCCTTTCTGTCAGCAAAGAAGAGATCCTGAGGGCTTCAGTTGATCTGGTCTAATATAAAGCTCTCAAAGCAGAAATAGAGAACATAAATAATGCATTCTTCTTACCTCCAAATCATAATGACTTACCTACAGATCGGAATGCCATCTGAACAATAAGATCACCTCCTAAAGAGTGCCATTGCTTATTTGAAAATGTAAACAAAGAAAATCTATACTACCATACCATGGAATAAAGTGCATTTTATTAAAGAAACGAAACAGCATACACAGTACTCCCTGAAAGTACTTTGCTATTAAAGGACACAGTTGTACTCAAATCACAGCTATAGGAACAAAATGAAATACAGTGGATGCTAGAAACCTAACACGGCACCTTCTATAGGTTAGTCCCACACTGACATCTCCATACACATAATAATCACCCTGGGTCAGAGGCTCACTTACCTTTAATTTCTCAGGATCCATCTCCTTAGCCATTTCCTCCTTTCTCATCTCAGCTATTGTTCGAGGGCCCTTTTTGTCTTTGTGAGCATTAAAACCTTGACCAGAGAGTAAGTCTTCAAAGTCAGCTGCTTTTTGTTTCCCTTCTGCAACATAATATTTTAAAAATTATTATGGTTTTTACTCTGAAACATAATATCATATCATTATGTCACAACACTTGGTCTTCAAGATGCTTTCACATGCACTAAGCCCCTTAATCCTCTCAATTACCCTGTCATGTCCATTTTACAGATGAGCAAAGTAAAGTCTGGAGAACTTAAGAGATCATTCAGAATCATATACCATGTCCATGGCAAAGCTTGGACTCGGGGCGGGATTGCTAGATTAAGTCTAATTCCATAATTCCATATCCACAGTTCCATCTTTTTATAGATGAGGATATTCATGATTCTACCCCCTGCTCCCTCCCCCACGCCCCCCCAGACCCCAGTCACACAACTAGTTAGTATCAGTGATGGGACCAAGACCTGGGTTTTGGTACTTGAACTCCATGCACGCCACTGCTTTCCTGCCCACACTCAGCTGACACTTTTAGTCCATCACAGTGCTCTTTTTTCCCAAGTCTGGTTTTAGCCTCACAATCTTTATCAGTCTGTTTGGAAAAGCAGCCTAGCATAGCAGCAAAGAGCAAAGACCCTGGAGACAAACTCTCCAGGTTTGAATTCCAGCTCTGCCCTTATTAGCGATGTGACCTTGGGGCAAGTTCCTTGCCATCTCCATGCCTCAATTTCCTCATCTGTCAACCAGGCATGGTGTGCTTAGAACAGTGCCTGGCTATTTAAATGTTTGTTGTTAAAACAAAACAGAACCAAAACACAGGAGTACATGCAGCCCATGCCCTTCAACCAAAGCTGGTGTTGGAATTGAAACCCACTTGCCAGCTCTATACTGTAAGGCATTCTGAACGTACACTGTCATATGCACACACTAAAATGTGAGTGCTCTGAGACTAGGGATTTTGTCTGTCTTGTTCGCTGCGTATCCCCAATGTTTTCTACACTGAAGACGCTCCATAAGTATTTGTTGATTGAAGACATTCACCCCATATCTACTCAAAATAAAAACGGAGGGGAAGCCAGGTGACTCCATGGAATTATCCAGGAATATCCACTGCTAACAAAAGAACAAACATGATGTTGTATTCCCAATAAGAGGGTCCCTGTCATGTTAGTATTGTGAGAAGTCACCTGTGCCACATCCAGTAGAGTGTGGCGGTGAAGAGCAGGGGCTCTAGAGCCACACTGTCCTGGTTCAGATCTTGGCTCTGTCACTTATGAGCTGTATGGACTTAGGAAATTATTGACCTCTGTCTACAACACGGGGTTGGTTTGGGAAGATTATATTAAATAATATGCGAAAACTGCATAGAATAGCACCTGACATATAATAAGCACTCAATAAATGTCAGCTACAGCTACCAGAAAAAGCAGAAGAATTTCATTTTCCATGTTCCATAGGAAGGCCTGTTTCCTTATCATGTCCCTAAACGTTTCATTCTTAGGTATAATCAAATCAACTGAAATGTAAAATATATCATAACAGGCCTTTTAGCAGACTCAAGTTTAACCATCCCTGCTATCCAAAATATATTATTTTTCACTTGCTATCAAGAATCCCATTTGAAAAAGGAAGAATCCCATCCAGAGTATCCTCCAGCCTTAGCTGTTGGGCCATTTTGTGTTCTTGTAACTTTCTTCTCAGAAGAGAGGAAAAAGCCATCACAGGAAACCCAATGATCTCAGGAACATCCCCCAACCAGAGGATAATCAAGACCAAACGTCCAAGATACGTCTACTCCTCTAAATGGGGTCCAAGAGCAAATGTGAACACAGTGCTTGAAAGGTTCCCAACCTTCCTCTTCTACCCTCTCTTCCCAAGGAACGACAGCTTCAAGATGCAACCACTCCTCCACTCACATCCATTCAACACCCATTTAGTGCCTACTACATGCCAGGCACTCTGCTAGATGCTAATGACAATGAGGCATTGGGCTCAGTGTGGTGAGAGACAGACAGGTGAGCCGGCACTCACAAAGCGATCTGGGTCAGGAGCCTGGTAAAACCTGGAGCTCCAGGCACCACCCTGGTGTAGGGAACGTGCTCTGTCTCTACAATTCAAAGATTGCCTCAGAAACTACCGGAGTTGCTTTCTATCTGCTTCTTCAGTCATACATACACTAGGGCACCCTACAGCCAGGCTCCATACCGTCATCCTTACCCAAGTTAGCTGCTCCTTTCCCACGTTCGTTCTGGCCCCCAGGCACAGATGAGAAGCTCACGTTGTAGTTGGGTCGGTTCTGGGGAGAGGAGTGGGGCATGCTGGACTGTGGCTTAGACTGTGTCTGCTGCCAGCTGTAGCCACTTCCCTGCTGCCACCCTCCACCCATAGGCTGGGGAGATGCTTTCTGTGGCGAGCTGAGAGGTGGAAATCCTCCACCCAATCCAGTCGGTGTGGAGGGTTTGCTGGCAAATGAAGAACCACCTACAGAACAAATTAAAAAAACAACAAAAAAAGGAGAGAGGGAAAAAGAAGGTAATGCTATTCTGAGTAGCCTCTAACTCCTGTGTCTCAAGTTACTGTTTACAGTGACTTCAGTGGAACTTCCCTTGACTGGTGGCACAATTAGCCTTCCTAATAGTTAAATAAATTGCAGTCATATATTTCCTTTAATCCCCACAATGACATTTTTAGGTATGTATTAATAGCCCCATTTTTTCTTTGGATGAACAAACTATAGCTCAGAGTAGTTAAGTGACGTTCTCCAAGTCACATAGCCAGAAAGTGGCAGAACTGGGACTTCAGTCCAAGTCTTTAACTCCAAGCCAGAAGAGCCCTGGCACTTCCACTATGCCATCCCAGCCCTCCTTCCCACCCTCTCAGCAGATTCTACTGCCTCACTGGAGTAAAAACTATCAAACGACAAGAACAGGGAATAAAACAAAATAGATTCACTCATGAAGGTGCTACTTAAACTTCAATGAGCAGGATTATTCATGGTCTGTTATAAATACAAGCATGGTTAGTGCCCACGAGTAAACCAAGAGGTTTTGAAATTTCATAAATAGGTTTCAATTTCACACTACTTGCATTTCAGTGCAGGAGAGTAAACACAGCTAACACTCGGACAGCCTTGAAAAGGGCAAAGAATCGTATTCGAGCTTTAAGTAATATTACTTCGTGCTGGGAATTTAAGTAGAATCCTGATTCTGTAACTCCTAACTTTTAAGTACTCACTGCATATATGCTGGGCTTTTTCTAAAATACGAAGACCAGTTGTAGCTCATGTTTAAAGAGGTAAAATGAGAAGCTGAAACGTGGTGATCTACAGGGACCCTTTCAGGCACCAATTCCAAAACAACAGTGATAATAAAGTAACATTTATATAGCTCTTCAGAAATTATAAAACATGTTTCTAAATATTGCTGCCTTCAATCTACACAACACCCTTCGGAAGTAGGTAGTATTACTAGCCCCACTTTATTTATTTATTTTTCTTTCTTTGTCAAAATTACCATTTAAAAATTTATTTTTTATTTATTTATTTATTTTGTGGTGCGCGGGCCTCTCACTGTTGTGGCCTCTCCCGTTGCGGAGCACAGGCTCAGGATGCGCAGGCTCAGCGGCCATGGCTCACGGGCCCAGCTGCTCCACGGCATGTGGGATCTTCCCGGACCGGGACACGAACCCGCATCCCCTGCATCAGCAGGTGGACTCTCAACCACTACGCCACCAGGGAAGCCCAATTTTTAAAATTTTTATATAATTTTTAAAGGTGACTTTCCATTTAGTTATTACAAAATATTGGCTCTATTCCCTGTGTTGTACAATACATCCTTGAGCCTGTCTTACACCCAGAAGTTTGCACCTCCCACTTCCCCACCCCTATATTGCCCTTCCCCCACTCCCCAGCACTGGCAATGCCTAGCTTATTCTCTGTATCTGTGAATCTGCTTCTTTTCTGTCATATTCACTAGTTCGTTGTATTTTTTAGGTTCCACATATAAGTGATGTCATACAGTATTTGTCTTTCTCTGTCTGACTTATTTTGCTTAGCATAATGCCCTCCGAGTCCATCCATGTTGCTACAAATGGCAAAATTTTGTTCTTTTTTATGGCTAAGTAGTATTCCATGATATACATATGCCACATCTTCTTTATCCATTCATCTGTTGATGGACACTTGGTTGCTTCCATATCTTGGCAATTGTAAATAATGCTGCTATGAACATTGGGGTGCATGTATCTTTTCAAATTAGTGTTTTTTGTTTTTTTCAGATATATACCCAGGAGTGGATCATATGCTGGGTCATATGGTAGTTCCATTTTCAGTTTTTTGAGAAATGTCCATACTGTTTTCCACAGTCTGGCTCCACTTTAAAGATGAGGAAAGCAAGGCTCAGGGAGGTATACTGATATGCTCACGATCACACAGCTGGTTAATGGAGCTGGGACTTGACTATGGGCTTCCTATCTCCACATGTTATGTTCATTTCCTGCAGCCATAATCCCTAACCCCTCCCTAAATCTCTGAGTCTTTCACTACAACTCATCCCTTACTTACAGTGTCTTCTTTATATAGATACTGTTCCTCTGCTCTGATCTGGGCTCCTCTTTCCTTTCCCACTAGGAATGTTGTGTTATGACTATCGGACCCAGAGTCAATCTGAGTTTGAGTCTCTGCTCTGTTGCTCACTCGTGCATTCATTCTTGCATGCACTTATTCATTCATTCATTCATAGAGTCATTCATCAGTATCTGTTGAGCATTACTAAGCACTGGGAATATAGCTGAAAAACATCTACAGAGAATCCTTGCTCTTCTGCAGTTCAGTGAAAAACTCATCTCCTTGACCTCAATTTTGTCACCTGTGAAATCAGAACTATGTCTACGTCACAGGTATATCATGAAGGCACAATGGCTATGTGAAAGTTCTTCACAATCCCTGAGTTAAGCGAATAAGAGACGTTACTTTAAAATAATGCAACTTCATATGCCCAGCATGTACCAGGACACCATAAGGGCTCAATAAATACTTGGTAATAGGAAAAAGTAATGACAGGGTTATATTCTGCAGGTTGGCATTGCTGTCAGTGTCTAACTCAGAACATGAAGCCCCTCTTTGTGAGCCCCTGGGCACTTCTGCCAACAGTGCATCAACATATACCTTAGGCTGGGTTCGCATTCTGCACTGGGAGTTCATTTTATATTTTAAGAATGCTTACTATCTTCCCTCTGAATATATATATGTTTATTATTTAAAAATTCAATAACATAGAAAGACCTGAAGAACTTAAAAAATACTTCCATATTCCCACCACACTGTCATTCATTTGTTCATTTATAAAACACTATCGAGCATCTTCTCCATGCCAGGCTGCAGATACAGTGGTGAAAAGGCAGATGCTGACTCTGATCTCAAGCTGTTCATCAACATTGTAGGACTTTCTAATGTCTACCCTTCCAGAATATTTTCTACCCATGTTTAGCAATTCTAATTTTCAACGCCACTGAAGCGGAGAGCTGACAGAAATACAAAACAGTAGCTAAACCCAGAGGCCACTGCAATCCTCATTAAAAGCAAAAGCAGTGGTCGTCAAATTTGGCTGTGCATTAGACTCACTTGGGGAGCTTTAAAAACTGTTTATAACCGAGCCACAGCCAAACCAATTAAATCAGAATATCTATGGGAAGAACTACAGTGTTTGTATCAGAACTGTTCAGTGTGAAAATACCTAAAGGAGGAGGATACTACCTTTTTAAAAAAATTGCAGCTATATAATTTGGAAGTTTAATTTTTACTCTAAAGCAATTACCTAGGAGTCAAAAATTCTAATGTGTAGCGCTTGCTTATATACCTGTTCACTGTGTAGCTTCAGGAAAGTCATTTACCTTTCCTAAGTTATGTGAGTTGAAAAATGGGGAACTTTAGGAAACTAGTTTCCCCAGCAGTTTTTAAAAATTACTGCGTTTTAAAAACAACAAAGAACTCTTGAACTCCTCCTAGTAGGTATGCTGTTGCAGTGATATGGATGCAGCTATTCTGAAACTATTTTTGTTGTCTATTAATGTTGAGATCCAAGGAAACGGAAGATACACATATGGAATAGGGGAAAGTAAGGAAGAACCCTGTGGTAGTGGATGGAATTATATATTGATATATGCATTTATATCCACTCATCACCTGAAAGGCAGAAAAATGACACCCACCCCCGTACCAAAAAACATACTTAGAACACAGACTCTGATTTCTAAATACCACTCCCCACAAAAAGGAATGAGGATTCTTGGAAATGCCTGATTCCAGGACTGGGGTGTAAAAAGTTCAAGACAAGCCTAGAACATCTTGTGCCATAAAGAAAGAAAGTTCTCAAAAATGATGGAATCAAGTGAAAAAGATATAGAAGCCAGAACAAAGGAGCTTTCACAAACTAAATGTGGGACAATGTGAACATTAAATAATGACAATAATAGATGATAACCAGCTGAGTTCAAAAAGAATCCACTAGTCTGTTATGATGTGAGAGAGGGAGGGAGTCAGAAAGGAAGGGGGGAGGGGATGGAGAGAGAGGAGATTGTGCCTTAGAGTGAAATGCTAATTAATATATATAGAAAGAAGGACAGAATCAGACGATCATAATTCTGCAGATATCATGGTAATGCCTGCTTTAGGCAAGAATCACTAATGAATGCTAAAATGCTAAAATGAATGCTTCGCATTCCAAAACCCCCTGGGTAAAAGTCAGATGGAGAACAGGATATCTCAAAGAGAATAGTCTCAAATTATCTCCCCAGATTACTCATTAATTACTATAAGGAAAAATGGTAACTTTATGGTGAAGAAACCTGGCAGACATCACCTTAACCAAGTGATCCAAGTTAACAAATCGAGACGTTCTCAACTGGCCTGTACCCTTCAAGTATCGATGTCACGAAAGGCTGAGGAATGATTCCAGGTTAAAGGTGTCTAAAAGGACATGACAACCAGATGCAAGACACGATGCTGGAGTTTTTAAAAGAACTTCCTATAAAGGTCACCTCTTCAGAGAGGCCTTCCCTAACCACTTGACATCTAAAATAACACCCCAGCCCATCCCCTACTCGCCATCACTTTCTCCCTTATTTTTTTCACAGCACTCTGCACAGGGCTTATAGTGCAAACTCCAGACCTAGACTTCATGGTGTTGAAACCTTGTGATTTGGGCAAGTTACTCAAACTTTTGTGTCCATGTTTCTTCACTTAAAAATGAGGACTATAAGAGTTCCTACTTCAAAAGATTATTGGCAAGATTAAATGAAATGATACATGTAAAGCACTTAAAATAGAGCCTGGCACATAGTAAAACCTCCAAATTAACATTAATTGTTCTTATTACTTGACATTATATTATATATTTATTCATTTAGTATTTGTTTCCCCTTCTAGAATATAAGCCTTATGAAGGCAGGAATTTTGTTTTGGTTTTGTTAGTTTGGTTGGTTGGTTTTTACTAAAAGAGTGTTAGCACGTAGAAGGCACTTAGTAAATAGTTGTGGGATGAATAAATGGGTAAAAAATGAACAGTGAATAAGATTTTATTTGAAGTAGAACTTTGCCTGTTATATATGATGTTATTATTCTAAAATGTGAAATTTATTTTAAGATATAAAAAAGAGAAATAATTTTGAGAGTTCTTAAAAGGAAAAAAGGTCTAAAGGGTATAAAAGAAAAGGTCAAGATTCTGACATAACTGCTGGCAAAAAATAAAAAGGTAGTCATGTTCTCATTCTCTGCAGACAATTTGGCTCTAAATGCCTCAGGAGGGCTTTTGGAGAAACTAAACTATCAACGTGCCTCATTTAATCCTTTGTGTGAGGGCTGCCCCACCTTTATTTAACAACTCTGTACTGCCCAGAGAAGGAAGGAAAAGGAGGAAGAAAAGGTTTCAGAACACACTAGTCCAATGAACTACTCCTTGAAGAAAGGTTCCTTGGTGAAACAGCTTGAGAACCCTGCACACTGTATTCCCCTATTGGGAAGCATCACCATGAGCACTGATTCTCAGAAGTTTTTGCAGTAACCCAAATCCACCGAACCCAGTGTTTCCAAAATTACTTCCTCATGAAACACTTATTTTATAACAATAATTAACATATGAGGAAAAACAGTTTGGATATACTATAAAGAGAGTCTATTTTCTGTATGGAATTTTAGAAACTGACCCGAGAGCACTGTCGCCAATGGACAGAAGAGGGGTACAGAACGGGGATCTCACTAGCAACTTCACAGTAAGGCCTATGCACAGCTGGCCCTACCTGGCACAAATCTACCTGACCAGCCTCATGTCTCAGTGTTTTTCTACACATTCATTACTTTTGCTGCAGCCAAACTCTATTGTCAGATGCTCCTGGAAGTTCTAACTTTATTTATGCTACTAATTCAAAATTAGTCATTAGAGAAACGGATTAATAGGGGTTAGTTCCAACCCAATATTTGAAGCCTGTTTCCTTTTTTTAAAAGTCAATCTCGGGTTTTAGAGTATAGCTTAAAAATACACATGATTTTAGATCCTAGGTAACAATACCAGCTTATTTTAACACCAAAGATTTAGACTTGAGGCTTGGTAGCCATAAGAAAATGTTATTTATATCTTAACCTGCTACATTTATACCTAATGTCCCAAGGTCGGCAAAAGGATCCAGAGTCCGGGGTTTGTTTTGATGGGTGGGAGTACCATGCAACGAGCCTGTTGGGCTGGTGGCAGCTGACTTGCTTCCCATTCCAAAACCTCCTGAAAAAAATAATAAGGTCACTGAAAATGAGTTAGTTGTCCAAGGCTGAATTCTGAAATTCAGAAATCCAGACCTACTGCTCACCTTGTCTCTAAAGGCAAATTAGGACAGGGTTTGCAAATGTGTTAGGAGTTGCTAGACTTATTTCCCTGACTTAAGTGAGTGGCGGCCTGGAGCAGAAACAGGGAACAGAGAAAGCGTACGTCATTTCCTAGCGTTTATCTCACATGTCACCTGACTTCATTCTTTCCTATGGGATTTGGAGTCAGGCCTGAATTCCGGTTCTGCCACTCCTAGCTGAGTGACCTTTGGCATGTTGCTTAACTTCAATATTTTCTCATTGGTTAGATAAAGAAACAGCAACTGCTTTAGAAGATTCTGTGATAAACATATAGTGTGTGTGTGTGTGTGTGTAACTTGCACAGCATCAGGAACACAATCACACAAGATGGCTCTCAAGAAATACAATACTAGCCATCAGAAAGAGAATTTATTTATTACAGACAAATCCAGCCCGAAAACAAGTCCTTTGTGAAGAAAGAAAACCATTCAGATTATGCAACACCTACTCTATGCCAGAAAATCTCACATAAGTTATTTCACTTAACTGTGTGGAACAAGAATTAGGAACCCCATTTTACAGATAAGAAAACTGAAGTTAAGACTTGTAAAAAATCCAAGAGCTTCTAAACGGTTGAGTTAGATATAAACCCAGATTTGTCTAACTCAATTTATTGTCAAGGCATTTAGCAAATGAGACTTAGACAAGTTAAATACCATATAACGTGCAGCACAACCATGCCATCAAGGGCAATATGAAAAGCTCCACCAGACTGTGAGCCTTTAGGAACTTTCACAGGTGGGCTTAACACTCTGTAAGGACTCACTTCATCTTGGGTAAAGGATTATGCTTCAGCAACCGGTTAAATGCGCACAAAATTAATCTGCTGACCATTACCTGGTTTAGTATGCCAGTCCCAACCTCCTGAAACATCTGGCTGAATGTTCACAGCAGGTGTACTAGAAGCTGCAAATGAGGAGAAGAAAAAGAATCAGGACAACATAGCTCAGAATCCACTTTTCTGTTATACACTACCAAACGTAAGGTAGATAGCTAGCGGGAAGCAGCCACATAGCACAGGGAGATCAGCTAGGTGCTTTGTGACCGCCTGGAGGGGTGGGATAGGGAGGGTGGGTGGGAGGGAGGGAGACGCAAGAGGGAAGAGATATGGGAACGTGTATATGTATGGCTGATTCGCTTTGTTATGGAGCAGAAACTAACACACCATTGCAAAGCAATTATACTCCAATAAAGATGTAAAACAAAAAGAATCCACTTTTCTGAATTCACACAGGAAAATGCTCTCCCTCTCATGAGGCCTCATGACTTGTCCAGGTCCCAGGTGATTCAACTCCCCCTCTGAGCTCTCCCCACATTCTGCAACATTGTTATTTTGAGGCTTCATCTGTGGTTACTTACATGAGCACCGGTAGAAGCCATAAACTGTCCCTGTTCCTTCTTTGGCTCACTTTTATTTTACCTCATAACTACACTTTGAATTATAAGGGTGCATATGTCTGTCTCCAATGAACTGTGAGTTTCTTGAAGGCAGAAAATTATATTATTCATCTGTGTGTCCCAGCTCTACACTTAACACAAAGTCAGCTGGCGATTAAAAATAGTGAAATGAAACTTAAACTCAATTTGCCTTGAATTGGCATTAACAAGTGTACAAGAGGCACGGGCAGCTGAGAACTGAAATTTTGTTTTCTCCTCCGCTGTGACATGAATGGAGAATGATGAGTCAATCAGAACATGTACTGGGGACTGACTAGATACCATCCACCATGCTGGTGTCAGGTATGTATATACTATCACTCAAAAAAAACTCACTGCAGCTTCAAAACACATCATTCTGACCCCTCTCGAAGTTCCAAATGTAGAATTTAAAAGAAATGTTCAGCTAAAGAGAACTGGATATATTAGAGGAGTACACACTGGTAGAGGAAGTTTTTTTCTACATCTGTAAAATTCAAATAAGAAATAGTATGCCGTAAGACAGAATTTCTTTCTAAGACTCTTCTAGGTTCTGTTCATTAAATCAGTCAGTACAACACAAATACTAAAATAACTTTGCGAGTAGGATTTAAGATACAACGCACACTCCACCACCACCACCAAAAGGATCATCAAAAGACCAAGATTAGCTTTACCAAGCCTTACATTTACCTATTTTGTTTGCTTAGTATGAACCAAGACATTGTGTACCTTCCCATCATTGAGTTAAATAGAACATGCCATTATCAAAAATAACAGTTCTTCCCGTTTAGTTCTCCCTTCCCTTTTGCCACAGTAATCCATGAAAACTGAGGTGGAAATTAGACAATTTTACTAACATTTGCTCTTTGATTTCCTGTAATCTCTGATCTTAGTCTTACATCTAACTAGGATGCAGAAGTAGGAATTAGTATTTCAACCTCATTACTAGTCAAACCCTCAAATCCTTACCACCTACCACACATAAGGCACCACACTAGAGAACAGAGAGCTTAAGGACACAGTACCTCTCCTTAAGAAACTTAAAATCTGTTGGAGAGAAAGGAATAAACAAATGAACCAGTAATTACCCAATATTTTAAACTTCTATTTTGCCTTTTACTATGGTGACTTGTTTAGTTTTTCTTCTCAGATTGTGCCCCAAGTGATTAATCTCTTCAGAGTAGATATTCAATAAATATTTGTAAAACTCAAAGGCAATATTTCTTGATTCTCAGAAGAGATTGATGGTGCCTTGTAGAAATCCAAGGTGGGCAATCTGACCTCCCAAAATGACACCTGAGTCTCACCTGTATATGAAGAGGATGCAACTGACCCACTAACAGTGGAGTAATTCCCTTCTCATCAAGGACAGTGGAAAATTCTTTCACTCACCTAGCATGGCACAGATCAAAATAAGAAGTGTAGCCACAAAACGAAGGAGTGCTAACTGTCTGAAACTGAGCTATAAACATCTTCTAACATGCTCACAAGACAGAACTGAGTCCACTACTGCCATGCCAAAGTATGAACATCCATACCCATGGGACAAGAAAGGTAGTACTCATGGGAAAACAGTAAAGTCAAAGTATTAAAGTCAGGAAAATATATAACCTTATTAACATTAGCATTATGCATCAAAGAGACTTAGATAGGAAAAAGTTACAATTCATTTTATATTTATATATTATATGGAAAGACACATAGATAAAACCTACCGTGTGCCAATAACTCTTCTAGGCACTACAGAAACATTCATAAACAAAACAAACAAAACTCCCTGCCTTTGTGAGCTCATGTTCTAGTGGGGAGAGAAAGACAACAAAAATAAACAACACATAAGTAAATTATTGAGTATATTGAAGTTGGCAAGTACAATGGAAAGGGAAATGCAGAGAAGCAGGAGGATGGGTTTTAATGTGAAATGGGGCAGTCAGAGTAAACCCCATCGAGAAGCTGACAGCTGAGTAAAGACCAAAGAGGTGAAGGAATTAGCTACGCCGATGTCTTGGGAAGAGGGGACACCCAGCGCAACAACAGAGAGGCCAGTGTGGCTGGAATGGAGTGAGCAAGAGGGAGAGAACAGGAAAGGAGGTCACAGCCCTGGGTGCTAGAGCACAAAGGGCCTACATAGGCCATTTCAAAGACTTTGGCTTCCATGCTGATTGAGGCACGGAGATTTTGAGCAATGACGTAACCTACACTTTAAATAAGTGAACAAAAACAACAGCTTTAACCTATCTGCCTGCGTCTTTCCTCTCAGGGTAGCCAACTTCCAATCAGGAGATTCTTTTAAGCGGGCACTACTCAAAGGTCAGAGGTGAATTTCTTGTATGTTGTCCTGTGGACCCACTTCAAATAGTTTGAGATTTAAGACCAACAGGAAATCACCCATAAAGGTTGTTCTTGGACTGCTTTCTCCTTTTCGGTCGTTTCAGTTTGACCAGTGTCGCACAACTCATCTTCCTTTTGCATTTGCATGGCTTCCATGAAGTCAAGCTGATGACTGGACTGCATTCTCCAAGGGGACTCAGGGTGCCTTCAACAACAAATACATCGTCCTCTAGGTTGAGGCCAATGATGTTCAATATCCTTCAACATCAGGAATGAGCTTCAGTTTTCCGGCTCAAAGTCATCTGTCCTTCACTGAAGAGCTTTGGTTTTAATCAGTGTTACCTAAATGATACCTTTTTGCTCTTACAAATGGACGTGATTATGATTCTTTCTACACAACCTAAGTCTCTAACACAGAAATATAATGTGGGCCATGTATAATTTAAAACTTTTCTAGTAGTGACATTAAGAAAGGTAAAAAGACACTAGTAAAATTAATTTTAACAAAATATTTTATTTAACCCAATATATTCAAAAAATTATATCAAGTGACCAATATAAAAATATTAATAAGATATTCTACTTTGTTTTGAAATCTGGTATGCACTTTACACTTAGAGTGCATTTCAAATCAGACTGGCCACATCTCAAGTGCTCAATAGCCACGTGTGGTTAGTGGCTTCATATTAGAGCTAGTGTAATATACCAGGATATTGTCTTCTAAACTGTTCTGTGGAATACTAATTTTGTGAAATGCTCATCATATCACATTTTATTAACCTAGGACTCATTTTTTCACATTTCAAAGACTTCAACCAGTATGCATCTTCCAATCAACTAAAAGTGGCAGTGTTTTTTTTCTTTCTTAATAGTACATAAAACAAAGATATGTGCTACAATTAACGATGCCCTGTAATTCTGTGCATGTAGCTCTAATGTAAAAAAAAAAAAAAATTCCAAATTAAATTTTAGGAAAGCTGAGTAAAACAAAGTTAAGTAGACTTCTTTACTGTAAACTGTCTCAGAGCTTTTAATATGTTAATGTGAACTGTTAATTTTCAAAAGAGAGATGCATTATGTAGATTTCCAAAAAAACAAAAACCAGAAAAATCTCACCTACAGGGTGCTTTTATATCTGAGCACCTCCTGCTATCTGTGGAAAACCATGCTCCACTGAACACAACATAAAATACTTCCTTACCATGCACTGTAGGTGAAGGACTTCTCGTAGGCTGAAGAAAGGGGTCACTGGAAGCACTGGCTGTGTTCAGAAAAGAACCCAGCAAATCCTGACCTGATGGTTTAGCAGGTGCTCCAAATGGGTCAAAGGTGGCACCTAGAAAACAACAGGAGAAAGGTATTTCTATGTCCTATGAGTTCACCCATTCAACAACTACTGAAGAGCTGTCACTCTTACGAGGCTGTAGGCCAAATACTTGAAAAATCAGGATGATGCCTGCGTCACAGGCTGTTCTACAGACCCATCCTATCCTTATAACTTCCTCCAGGGTTAACAATGGATCCCAAGGATTTCAGACCACACATGAATAATCCCTTCTTTGTGGACAAAGGAGAACTCTGGATTTACCTGTTGGATGAACCATAAACACTATAAGCAAGGGCCCCTTGGGCCTTCAGGCCTCTTAATAACATAAAATAAGTCATCCAAGCTTACAGACTAATAGATGAGTGGTGAAACAATGCCTGGACCATAGGAGATACCCAATGAATGCACTGTGCTCATAATCAGTGAATTCGTGGACTAAAACCAGGTGGGGGGCCCTGCTATTAAGGTGAACAACAGAAAACCTCATTGACCAGGTTTTGTTTAGTTTTGTTTGTGTTCTTAGTGGTCTCTGGCTCACTGAAAGTTAAAAAGGGAAGAAACTGAGCATGACAAAAACTGAACTCTTATCATACCTTGTCCTGTGAAGCTAAAATATTTCTGAAACATTGCCTGTCAACAACTTGCCAGAAACTAGATGCAGATGTAGTGAAATGAGAAAAAGTTTGTGAATGAAGCAAGGATACTAGAACAAAGTGGCAGCTGAGGTTTCTAGCAAAAATGCAATAATATTAATACTGTATCATTTCTTCAGGGTTTACCATTGAGGTATTCATAAAGAATACCTCAGCTGATCCTTAATATCTCCCTGTCAGATAGAAGCGATATTATCTTCATTCCACAGACAACAAAACTGAGGTTCAGAGAGCCAAGTTTCTTGCCCAATGTCAAGCAAATGATAAGGCTGGACTCATGTTCAAGTTTTCTGACTCCAAATTCCAGGAATTTCCCAAAGGCATCTCACATTCCTCACAGGTGTGAAGTGAATGTGATGAAAACCACGCAGAGCGGCATGTATATAATTGGGCTTTAATTTCTCATTATTGGTCAAGGGACAAAATTCCCTTTAGCTCCCTGTAGAAAGATGTCACTTCCTAATTTGTAAGTATCAAGCTAATGGGCTCTTGGGTTTCCTGGAGTGAGAGTGACCTATTCTAGGAATAGACAGCTAGAATCAAACAAGTTAACGAATAAATTCCACTCTCAAAATCCAGGTAGCATATATGATTTAATATGTGTTCAGCTATGACTTCATTGGCATAATGGTCTCCTAATATCTGCTGGGCAGCAGATGAGCCTTGTGTAGCAGCAATGAATCAATGATATGTCAGGCACTCTGTTACATGATGTATATCCCTTACCTCATTTAATACTTACAAAACTTTATCCCTTCTATAAAATGAGAATACTGAGATTTATAGAGTAACTGTAAGAGGACATTGGGTTAATTCGTCTACACCTAAGTTTGAAGTCAACCAGTAGAGGATGCTAAAATCTTTTCACTATTACTTGGTATACTTTTAATATCAACTTATGTTAAATTAGCAACATTCTCTAATAACTAAAAGTGAACTTCCCAACACAAGACAAGAGCTAAAATTTAGTCTTTACAACAATGCTGATAGGTAAGTATTTCCCCATTTTACAGCTAAGAAGATTAAGGTTTTTTAATAAGCCTACACAAATAGGTAAGTGTCAGTCCTGACATTCAAATCCAAACCTTTAACTCTGGACTCAGTGTTCTTTCTACTTCCTCTTGGGGGACAGAATACCTGAGTTCCAGATCTGGATTGGCACTAATCATCTGTGCATCCTTTGACAAGTCAATTAATACAGCTGGCCTCAATTTCATTGTTTATAACCTGTGGCACAGATCTAACTAATGTTTGAAAGGTCCCCTCTAGATCTGACTCTGGAACATAACTATTTGCCTGTGACTATGATGAATTAGATCACTGAAAGTCACACAGGTATGGTCTTAAAAACATGACCGTTGAGTACTATGCTATCTTGGATCCTGGAGACTTCTTTTCCTGACAGAGCTTTTGTTCACTGTGGTGAGTAAGAACTGCTGAAAGATAGAGGAAATAGCCTGGGATTCAGGGCACCTGGCTTCACGCTGTGGCTCCATCAATAACTAATGTAGGAATTTGAGCCTCAGCATCTACAGTCCATGATTCTGAAACTCACTCATGTAAAGAATGGCTCCAGTTGAACCACCATAAATCAAGACCAGCCCAAAGCCTTCTGAGGAGTGAAGGATGATCCTGGGAAAGAAAGTTCCTAAAGGTTACCACATGCCTGGAGAGTTGAGACACTCCTCTTTACTCTTCCTAATGTGATGTCATCTTGGTTAATGGGGGATGATAACAAGGGCAGCTAGTTCTTTAGAAGCTATAATGGACCTCTGCTTACCCAACTCTACTGTCTTGCAAATGTTAAAGAATTGTGGATGAACAGCCACAGAAAGGGTTGAGTCTGTGGCAATGAGCAGAGTGAAGCTGACTGAGCCTCATGGGGCTCAAACTCTGTATCTGGCACCAACTGCTCTGCTCCACCAGCTGTGCTGCTGGCAGCAGTCCCTTAAATATATCTTGAAGTAAGCAAGTAATTCTCTGCACAGCCAAAGTGTATTCAGAAAACTACAATTCCAGGAAGGCATTACAGGAAAGCTGAGGGAAAGCTCTGGAGTCAAATGGCCTGGTTTTGGACCCTAGGACTAGCTGTATAAAACTATGCTACTAATTTGACCCTAAGCCTCTATTTCCTCAACTATAAAATGGAGATAATAGCACCTATTTACTGTGTTTTTATAACGATTGAATTTATGGTTAGTGTCAAACTCCACGTCTGGCAAATAGTAAGTAGCCCACAAATAGTACCTGTTATTATTAACAACAATTCATCAATCTACATCTCCGAGCAGAAATAACTAGAGCAGCTCAGGGACTAAAGCCCTGAAAAAAAAGTTAAAGTAAGGGTGACAAGTTCAAATATTCATTCTTAGACTGTCCTACCAAAATGGACAATATTTCTATTTCCTCTTGTGGTCCCCACTGAGATGAAGATACAGACCTTTTGGGGACTACTAGGGAGATCAGAGAAGTCTAGATTATTAGGAAAGTTCGATTCCACCTGCTTGGCCCAAAAGTTATAATTCAACACTGAGAGGTACAGCGCAACATGAAAAAAAATTACCTTCTCCTACTCTCAGTGTTGGAGACGCAGAGGTGGAGGCGGTGGACCGGCGCGGTGTTGACTGGGTAGATGTAGGTCCACTCGGATGAAACACGTCTTCCACCCCTGACTGTCCAGCCCGGGCAGGGCCGGCTGCACCTCCACCCCCAAACAGGTCACTCAGAAGTTCGGAATTGGTGGGAGGAGCCGCCGGTGAAGAGAAGTTCTTACTCACTGCAGACCCTTCTAGACCCAGAAGGTCCACATCCTCAGTGGGTGGAGGGGCAGCTGGCTCCTGCTGCTTTTTGCTGGGCTTCCTGGCTCCATGAGGTTTGTCGCCATTGGCATTGCCATGTGGGCTGGAAAGGGTCAGAAGTTCATCATCCGACTGCTCACTTTCCTGATTCACTAGGGCAGCGTGGTCCTCCTCGCAGAATGATTTCTCCGATTTCTGATCTAAGGAAGGCCATTATGCCAGGAAACAGTTAGTTACCAGCCACAGCATTATTGCTTTTTGTTAGAGTCTATGTACATAACTTCAGAAAGAGAGCAAGAGAAGCCTGAAAAAAACACAATGCTTTTAAGACCCTTACCAATGGAAAACCTGGATGTATTTCACATTACATTCAATTACTACTTGTTGAGCATCTGAGAGGCAGTATAGCACAGGAGTGAAGAGCAAGAACTCTAGAATCAGCCTGAGTTTGAATCTCATCTCTGCTACTTACTGGCTCTGTGACACTGAGAAAGTGACTTTACTTCTCTGTGCCTTGGTTTTCTCCTCAGCAAAATGGGAGTAATAAATAGAACCTAGCTCACATTGCCTATTGTGAAAATTACATGAGATGATATATGGCAAGTGCTCAGATCAACAGGAAGTAGTACTTAAGTGGTTTCTATTGTTTTTTAAAATTACTACTATCATCATCATCTTCTTCTTTTTCCCAGCACTATGCTCAGTGCTTTGAAAAAAACATTATCTCCTAGTCCTCTGCTGCCTCCTCTCACTGTCTTTTTCTTCTCCATGTGGCCTGCAGACAAAAGCAAGGTCCTTCTCCCACAGTCTGGAGCAGAAGTGAAGCCCACACCTAATAAGTGAATAGAGGGAACGGCTCTGCTTAGGATGGTCCTTACACCAACCTAGGAAGAGATACTTTCAGCATAAAATGGGGCCTCTTCTGGGGAAGGAATGGAGAGGCTGGTGAGTGACTTTCCAGGCCCTCCTTGAAACAGATCCCTCTTTCGAACTTTGTTACTTACTGTCAGATGGATCCACGTTCCAAATCAAGTACAGATCCACATCCCTCGTCCCCAATTCTGAAATTCAAAAAGCTATGAAAAAGGAAAGGTTTCCCTAAACTGGTGGAAAAATCTGACTGGGACTGACATGAAAGTTATTTATAGTCTTCATTGATTTCACTCAGGGTTATGAGTTATGTTTCACTACAGACATTTTAACATGTTTGATAACACATTGTCTGAGATGCCACTGGGGGTTCTGCAATATGCAGTCTATGTACTGTATCATCTTTCTAACTTGCAAAAAATTCTGCATTCCTAAACCCATCTGACTCTGCTGGGTTCAGATAAAAGATTGTACATAAGTGCTTAACCTATTTTATGGCCTGATAAGAATGATTTCTAAATTACTTACTAAAATAGCAGTGGAGAGTAAAAGTAAAGTTTTCTTAAAAGCCCTTATGTGAGGAAGAAAGATATAGGTGAAACTAAGAGGGGGTTGGGAAATCTACCTGCTATCTAGATTTCACTGTGTTTTCCAATTTTTTAAATGTTATTGGTCCCATTTCTCAGTAGAAAATTCTGAAAGCAAGCCTTCGATTCAAAGGAATGCTATGAACAATTTTTTTATCAAACGTGGAAAACTCTGTGTAGGCAATGGGCATACTGTCTTATGTTTACATGGCAAAGGAAGGTCAATCAAGAGGATTTTAAGTACACTATCACCAAAGCCAGTTTCCTACCCTTTTCTTAAGAAAGTCCTTACCATGGAATTCTACATTGAACTTTGCAGTTAACCTCAGCAAACTAAAACAAGGATGGCGAATGGGTATCGATCAGAATGCCAATGCTAGTCTACTAACGGTAGCAGTCTGAGTCACATCGGGAAGGATTCTAAATACATCTCCAGGTTTGGCAAAAAAGGATATTGTGATCGAGCCCAATTTCTGCCAAGGTTGTTAAAGCAAGTAGCAGAGATATGTAGGCAAAGTGTTTGCCTTCCCTGTCCCAGCGGAAGCTCACCTCTGCCCTACTGGTGGTTAGAGCCCTGGGCGGGGTGGGTGGAGTAGTGTGCCAGATTTTATATTTCTAAGGGCAGGAGATAGAGTCCTTTGTTAATTTCTTTGTGTGTCAGCAGTGTAAAGGGAGATCCTAGAAGATATCACGATTATTCATAAATCCAGGAAAGATGTGATCCAAAACACTGCATAGACAGAAAAGATAAAGTTCAGCTTAAAATGGCCTTTTGCATCAATCTAAGAGCATCAAAGTAGGGAAGCTCCTGATTTGGAAAAGGAAGGAGCGGGAAGAATGTGAAACAAAGAAGACCCTAGATGGATGACTTCTAAATGCTGCTTTACTTTAGGCTGCTTCGAGGACGAATCCTCTTTATATATACAAGAACCACATAACTTAACCACCTAACCATGTAACTTGGAAGAAATGCTTAGAAGTACCTTGCCAACAGAGAGTGGAAAAGAAGCCACCTTGCCCAAAATGTCTGGGGTTGTCTGGAGGGATGTCTATTGGAGCCTGTCCTATAAGACAAAAGACATCAAGGAAACACAGGAAATAAGTCAATGTGATAAACCACACAGAGGCTTCGTCCTGAAAACAAAACCACCAGGTGACTCATACCTCCTAAGACCAGAGTATCTTGATGCTCCTGGTGAGAAGAGAAGAGGATGCTGGGGTTGACATCTTTTGTGCAGTAATGTTCCCATGGTGGGGTTAAGTCTATCACTTTGTCATGGGGCTGTAGTTCTACATCCAGAGTCACCTGAAATAGCTGAGGATATTTTTCTGGTACATCACATGCATCCAACTCAGGCCTAAATAGAGATTTAAAATAAGATCAGTGAAAAACAATGGAACCAGTATGATGTTCGGCACAGAAACCATTGTAGATTGATTCTTAGTTTCACTCTGAGATGCATTTCTAGGGAAAAATCAACCATTAACCAGATAAGAGACTTTACTTTTCTGAGTCTCAGTTTCCTTATCTAGAGAAAAGAGGAAAATAATGCCTGCCCATAGAATTTAAATACTACTGCATGTGAAAGCATTCTAGATAGCAGGGTGGATATATCCAGACAGCAAGCACTGGCAGGACCAAATCAGTTGTTAAATTAGAGAAATAAGCCCAGAGCTACCACCTTGAGCTCTTGAATGTCTACTCCTAAGCTGACCCCAGCAACTCCCACCTATCACCCCACCCTCAGACGCTCCCTTGAGTTCTCTAGGCCACACTTTAACAATAGCAACTAAGGGTGCTATAATTTTTGGTGCAGGGGGTCCCCCAGGACCCTGCTTCAGTGCTGTGGCCTGGCATCCATTCTGACTGGTCATTGCTCATATCATACTGCTGATTCCTCTGCCTTCCATGTTGCAAAACACAAAGGGATACACAGATGCAAAGGATCACAGTATTGAAACTTTGTTCCCTCTTTGTTCACTCTTGTTCCCTCAGATGGTATTTTAGACCTTTCAATTTGAAGTCTGATCCACTTGTGTTTAGGACAAATCACACCCAACTGAAAGTTATAAAATGCAACAAGCCTCTGTATGTTGCTAAGCCACACGCTACAGCCCTGAAGCACAGGATTTGGGGGGAAGCAGCAGCATGGCACTAATGAGCCTTTAGCACTTGACTCCTAGCATTCCACAGCTGCTTGGATTGAAAAGGGATTTGGGCCCAAGTAGCACTCACTTGGTGAACTTTAAAACTGTTGTGTCCAGTGGAATGAATCCAGTATGAAACTGAAGCTGGAATATCTGAGTGTTGGTCACCTAAAAATACGAGAGAAGCACATTACAATCAATCAGTGAAAAGGGAATCAGATCAAAAGATTATGTTTGGGGGCGTCATACACCATCAACTGTTTCTATATCTGCGTCTTTGTTTTCTATGAATATTAAACAACCTCCTCATTTGGAGCTGACCCAGGTTCATTTCTAGCCTCTCCTCTCCACGAACTCTGCCTGGGCAAGCCATTCCTTTATCTGCTAATACACCTTGCAATACTTTGACTCATCCCATTCCTTCTGTCCAGGATGCCCCTGCTCCAACCTGATGAACTCATCCTTCAAGGACCACCTTGAAAGGTCACACCCTCTGTAGCCTTTCTGAACCACCACTGGATGAAACAAACTGCTCCCATTATGACATCTCATCCTACCTCTGCAATGGTAGTGGATATTCGTATATGTGTGAATTTCCCCTGAGCTCCTTAAAGGCAGAGATACAGTTTTACTCTTGTCAATCCTAAACCCCTAGGCAATGACTGGCACAGAGTATGTACTTAGCAAATATTTAATGAATTAAATATTTAAAATACAATTACTTGCTATGAACATTAGGGTGCATATACCTTTTCGAATTAGTGTTTTCATTTTCTTCAGATAGATACCCAGAAGTGAAATTGCAGGATCATGTGGTAGTTCTACTTTTAATTTGGGCGAGGGGGCGGGGGGACTCCATACTGTTTTCCATATTGGTGTAGCAATTTACATCCCCCCCAACAGTGTACGAGGGTGCCCTTTTCTCCACACCTTTGCCATAATAACACTTGTTATTTCTTGTCTTTTTGACAATAGCCATTCTGATGGGTGTGAGGTGATACCTCATTGTGGTTTTGATTTCCATTTCCCTGATGATTAGTGATGTTGAGCATCTTTGCATGTGTCTGTTGGCCATCTGTATGTCTTCTTTGGGAAAAAAGGCCTATTTAGGTCTTCTGCCCATTTTTAATTTTTTTTTTAACATTGAGTTCATAGCAGCATTATTCACAACAGCCAAAATATGGAAGCAACCTAAAGGCCCACTGACAGATGAATGGATAAAGAAGGTGTAATATATGGTTATTACTCAGCCATAAAAAAGAACGAAATCTTGCCACTTGCAACACAATGCATAGACCTGAAGGGTGTTATACCTAGTGAAATAAGTCAGACAGAGGTGAATACTGTATGCTTTACTTATATGTGGACTCTGAAAACAAAACAAATGAACAAACATAACAAAACAGAAACAGACTCACAGACACATGGAACAAACTAGTGGTTGTCACAGGGGAGAAGGGTGAAATAGGTGAAGGGGATTAAGAGGCACAAATTTCCAGTTATAAAATAAATAAGTCACCCACCCATTTTTAAATTGGGTTGTCTGTTTTTCTGATATTAAGCTCCATGAGCTGTTTGTATATTTTGGAGATTTATCCTTTGCCCATTGCTTCATTTGCAAATATTTTCTCCCACTCTGAGGGTTGTCTTTTCATCCTGTTTATGGTTTCCTTTGCTGTGCAAAAGCTTTTAAATTTCATTAGGTCCCATTTGTTTATTTTTGTTTTTATTTTCATTACCCTAGGATGTGGGTCAAAAAAGATCTTGCTGTGGTTTACGTCAAAGAGCGTTTTTCCCACATTTTCCTCTAAGAGTTTTACGGTGTCCAGTCTTACATTTAGGTCTTTAATCCATTTGGAGTTTATTTTTGTGTATGGTGTTAGGGAGTGTTCTGATTTCATTCTTTTACATGTAGCTGTCCAGTTTTCCCAGCACCACTTATTGAAGAGGTTGCCTTTTCTCCGTTGTATATTCTGGCCTCCTTTGTCATAAATTAGGTGACTATATGTCCGTGGGTTTATCCCTGGGCTTTCTATCCTGTATCACTGATCTATATTTCTGTTTTTGAACCTATTTGTAAGGCAGGTATAGAGACGTAGATGTAGAGAACGGACATGTGGACATGGCGGGGGAAGAGGAGGGTGAGATGAATTGGGAGACTGGGTTTAACATAAGTACACTACATGTGTAAAATAGACAGCTAGTGGGAACCTGCTGTATAGCACAGGGAGATCAGCTCGGTGCTCTGTGACGACCTAGATGGGTGGGATGGTGGGGGGTGGGAGGGAGGTCCAAGAGGGAGGGGATATATGTATACATATAGCTGATTCACTTCATTGTACGGCAGAAACTAACACAACACTGTAAATCAATTACACTCCAATAAAAAATAAATAAATAAATAAGTCACAAGGATGTAATGTATAGTACAGGGAATACAGTCAACATTTTATAATAACTCTGTATGGTGTGTAATCTACAAAAATAATGAATCACTATGTTGTACACCTGAAACTAATGTAACATTTTAAGTCAAGTGTACTTCAATAAATAAAAAATTTTTTAAATGCAATTACCCGTAGCGTTACTTGTGATATCCAAACGGTGGCAATACTGTAAATGTTCACCAAGTGATGAAGAGATTAATAAAAGCTACATAACCGTGCAATGGAATATTATTTGGGTATATAAAGAAGTACAGATATATGCTACAACATGGATGAACCTTGAAAACATTAGGCTAAGTGAAAGAAGCCAGTCACAAAAGACCGCACATTGTATGATTCCATTTATGTGAAATGTCCAAAATAGGCAAATCCATAGAAACAGAAAGTAGATTCCTGGTTGCCTAGGGAATGGAGGAGGAGGAAAGGAATGGACAGTGGCTGCTAAGAGGTGTAGAGTTTCTTTTGTGGGTGTTGAAAATGTTTGGGAATTAGCGGTGATGCACAACTCTTTGAAAATACTAAAAATAACTGTACTGTACACTTCAAAAGGGTGAATTTTATGTTATGTAAATTTTATCTCAATTTAAAAATTGAAAAAGTATGATTACTTCATCCTCAACAGAAATATCTCCTCTCACCCCGATCCAAATAGGGCACTATAAAAAAGGCACAAGTTTCTAAAGAGCAAGGTTTGCTCTTTAGTTCCTGGGCTTCCATCTTCTGGCAAAACCATCTGGGCAAGTCAAAACCTCTGAGGCTTAGTTTCTTCCCCTGTAAAATGAAGGCAATGGGCATAAGTAATCTTTTTTTTTTTTTTTTTTTGCAGTTTTCTTTTTTTTACTGAAGTATAGTTGATTTACAATGTTGTGTCAGTTTCTGCTGCACAGCAAAGTGATTCAGTTATACATATTTATACATTCTTTTTTATATTCTTTTCCATTGTGGTTTATCACAGGATATTGAACATAGTTCCCTGTGCTATACAGTAGGACTTTGTTGTTTGCTTCTGCTAATCCCAAACTCCCAATCCATCCCTCCCCCACCTCCCTCCCCCTTGGCAACCACAAGTCTGTTTGCTATGTCTGTGAGTCTATTTCTGTCTCATAGATAAGTTCATTTGTGTCATAGTTTAGATTCCATATATAAGTAATATCATATGGTATTTGTCTTTCTCTTCTTGGCTTACTCCATTTAGTATGATCATCTCTAAGTTCATCCATGTTGCTGCAAATGGCATTATTTCATTCTTTTTTATGGCTGAGCAGTATTCCATTATATATATATATATATATATATATAATCGAATTTATATATATATATTTTTATATACATATATACACCACATTTTCTTTTTCTTTTTTTTTCTCTCTGCATTGGGTCTTCGTTGCTGTGCGTGGGCTTTCTCTAGTTGTGGCAAGAGTGGGGGCTACTCTTCGTTGCAGTGCGTGGGCTTCTCATTTGCGGTGGCTTCTCTTGTTGCGGAGCACGGGCTCCAGGCGCGCAGGCTTCAGTAGCTGTGGCACGCGGGCTCAGTAGTTGCGGCATGTGGGCCCTAAAGTGCAGGCTCAGTAGTTGTGGTGCACAGGCTTAGTTGCTCCGCAGCATGTGGGACCTTCCCAGACCAGGGATCGAGCCCGTGTCCCCTGCATTGGCAGGGGGAGTCTTAACCACTGTGGGTGGTTAAGGGTATAGGGAAGTCCCTATACCACATTTTCTTTATCCATTCATCTGTCGATGGACACTTAGGTTGTTTCCAGAGGTAATCTTTAAATGTTTTTTCTGATTCTAAAACCAGAAGTCACTCAAGCCCAAAGTGATGTACACTCCTATTAAAGGATCAGCTGAGCTTATATCATAATTCTTTCTGAAACCATACCTTAGCCTGTAGCCGGCTTCCAATGGTTGACCTCAAGTGATACATGGAAACAACCACATCTCCTTGCACAGTGATGCTCAAGGGAATGAAGATTTTTCCATCTTGGACACGGTATTCTCTTTAAACAGAGACAAAAGCATACACTGAAAGAGAGTCTAATCTGGCACAATAACACAGGTATACAGGCACAGTCTACTGTGGCTCTGGCCAAGGCACCTGTTTGCCCAGGCCTGAACCCAGGAACCATTTCTTATCTTAAGCAAAGTAAGGAGCACAGCCAGTGCCAACTGGAAGCAAATTGGTTCTGCCACAGGATGCCACTGGTCTCATGCCAGGTCCTCTCTCTCCAACCCATCCTGATTTCTAGATAAATCAATTGCCCATTAGCAGAAATCGTTTTCCCCAAATACATGTAGCCCTGATGTATTTACCTTGCCCTAACTGTAAATTTATGATAAAAACAGAGAGAGAACAAAGAAATCTAACTGAGATCAATATAGAAACAGCAGTGAGATGCTCTGTGAGTATCTCCTATACCAATTTTGAAATTCAGTCTGTTTCAAATTAATTTCACTTCCTGTTATCATCTAGTCCCTTCTTCCATATCTCCCACCACCTCCCACTGGCACTTGCTCTTTATTATAGATTCTATAACTTTTTAATTATACGACCATCTACCTAGTTGCTCACCTAGAAACCTCACTCATTCCTGATTCTTCCATTATCGTCACCAATTCTTATCAAGGTCATCTCCTTCTTAAACGTCCAGGTCTCTGCCCTACACCACTGTCTGAACCCTCATTATAGCTCACGTTAGTCCCTTAGTTTGTATCACCATTTGAAGGGGGGCTATGGCATCCCTTGATTTAATTGTGCTTTTCTATGATTACCACCTATATTGAACATTTTTTAAAATATCAGCCATTTCATAATGTAGTCCTCAAAGGAAGAATAGGATCCAACTTACACAGGAATGGAGCAGTTCACAAGAAGAAATGAAGAAAAGTATCATGACTTACTTCATTCGTTCAAAATCTGCACAAGTTGTATATATTTTGGTTTCTCCAATCAGTACATCACAGTAAGGGCGACATCCATTTCTCTGTTTGTTGAAAAAAGGAACTGGACTGACAGTGATCGACTTAATAGTGAGAGGCTTGAAGTGAGGGCGGTAGGGTTTGTCTGCTAGGAGGTCACACATGTAGCCCAGGTACCTAAAACACAAGACAGACATTCTGTTGGTGTGACCACAGCAGAAGAAATAAGCAGTCAGTTTGCTAGAAAGTTTGCTCTCATAAATTATTAACCTATAATAAAAATTTAGTGTGTTAATTCTTTAAACATTAACTGGCAGAAGAGAATGCTGCCATAATTTAGGAAAGCTTTTATCTAGTGACACTGCTGTACTTCCCCCCGAAGAGCTGATAAAGGGGTATTTATTAAATGAAAAGCCTTACGGGCATTTCACACTAGCTCAATATTTGATCTAGCAGACTAAATTTATCAGTTAAGGGCTAGCTTTGGAAAAAAATCAGAATTTATCATCAGACGCAGTTTTAATCCAAGAGGAAGTAAGGAGATGCAGTTTAAATAAGAGAAAGAAGAAACTGTGCCCAAAGAGGGAAGACAATACATCGATTATCTAAAAAGGTTTTTCCCCTTTTTTGGGGACATGATACAAATTAGACCATGTCTGCGCCAACCCTGCATCTAGCTGACTTTACCTCCTGTGGGATGGCGAAAGTCCGATTCCTGGTCGCTTTGCGTAGAGTAATCGAACAGCTGGGCCAGAAGTAGAGTAGAGATTACAGAAAATGAACATAGCACCAACCAGAATTGATGATGCTGCCCGTCCATCCTATCAAAGAAAACGTATAAACTTGTCATAAACATGGATCGGTCAGGCACTCCACAATGAGAGTGGCTGTACTTGCAATTAAAAGAAAGAGGTGAAGGGTGGGGAGTCTGGGCGTGGGGTGTGGAGGAGAGAAATCTTAACTACAGGTGCCTGTCAGTTCAAAACTGCTCACCTGAAAACCCAAATCTGTCCCAGCTATTTAAATCACAAAGCAGCAAGGGAAGACGGATTCTTAGGATACAACTGACTCTCTGCTAACCTAAGAAACCCAGCAATATAAATTAGATTTGTACATATTTACTGAAAAATAATCTAGTCTTCAGAGTAACTGTGGACTTGTAGGATCAGAACTAACAGTTGAGGTCTCTCAGTTTAGGGTGAAGGTAAAGAGTTCTCAGGTTAGGCAAATACTGCTTTTTGGAATATGCGATGTGTGTATTTTACCCAAAGTTATGTTCCTAGATGGATATAAAATAAAGAAGCTTCACCTGATTCAACCGCACTCAGTAAAGGAATGCAAGCGATGACATTCCTGACAGATGGTGAGCAGCTTCTTCCAGAATACTTTAACTGACAAGGAGCATCCTGCTTCTGGATGAACTTCACAAAGTTCTTCCTTATACTGAACATGCTGAGTTGCAGTCTATTCCACTCAACGATCCTCATTCTTCCTTCTCTCAGGACAAAGTGTAAACCTACTCCTTTCTCCCTGGGACAACCCTTCACATATCTGAAATACTCTCCCTTTCCATCAACTTTTCTATTTTCCAGGTCGAAAACATACCCGATCTGTGATAATTTTATGTCACAACTTGATTGGACTAAGAGATGCCCAAAGAGCTGGTAAAACATTATTTCTGGGTGTGTCTGTGAGGGTGTTTCTGGAAGACATCAGCATTTGAATCAGTAGACTGAGTAGAGATTCACCCTCACCAAAGTGGGCTGGCATCACCCAACCTGTTGAGGGTCCAAATAGAACAAAAAGGCAAAGGAAGGGAGAATTCTCTTTGTCTTCTTGAGCTGGGACCTCCATCTTCTCCCTGTTCTTGGACATCGGAGCTCTTGGCTTTCAGACCTACACCAGCAGCCCCCTTGGTTCTCACGGCTTCAAACATGGACTAAATGTTACCACTGGCTTTCCTGGTTCTCCATCTTGCAGGAGGCAGATTGTGGGACTTCTAGGCCTCCAGAATCACTTGAGCCAATTCCTATAATAAATCTCCTCTTACATATGTATCTCTACACATATCCTGTCAGTTCTGTTTCTCTGGAGAACCCCGACTACTACACAATCCCTTCAATTCTTCCTCATTTGATGTTCCATTTTAAGAGACATCATCATTCAGTGGACTTCCTCTTAACAGACTCCAGTTTTAAAACAACAGCCTTAAATGTGCTGCCCAGATGTGAAATGCAAGATATAAGATGTGCTCTGACCAAACTAGAGAGGAAATATCATCTTCCTTAGTGTGGTAAGAACACTATGCTTTCATTAACATAACCCCAGGCTAAACTAGTTTAAATGTAAGCTAAATCGCACCATAAGTTCTTATTGATCTTTCTATTCACTAAAACTGTTAGTTCTTTTTCAAATGATGTGTTAATAGACAAACACACTTAATCTTTTGGAACCAGAATTCGGGACTTTACATCTATCCTGTGTTTAATTTCACATTGGTAGTTTCTATTTAAATGACCAACCTGAGAAAACTGATAAGCTTGCCTCCACATTTTCAAAGCTGTCAATAAAAGGGCAACCAAATGCAACCTTTTCCTGGGAGGATGCTGATCCATTAGTCACCTATCTTTGGAAGCAATATTCAGCCAGTATTTGTCTAAATGTATAAAAATTTAGCCCAAATTTCTCCATCTTGAATATAAGAAATGGGGAAATATCTCGCAGGACTCCAATAAACTATCTCTACTAATCTATTAGTCTTGTTCCAAAAGTTCAGTGGTTTGATATGTGTGTTCATAATGAATCGATGTGGACTCCTTTTTTCTAAGAGTTTAAAATCATCTGTGCACAAATTGTCTTAGAATTTCGCCTTGAATTGCCATCAGGCTCACCAGCCTGTAAGTTTCCAGGATCAGCCTCCTCCACCTTTTGGAAAAACATCTCCTCTCCTTGCTTGACTGGCACTTTCCTCCCTGTTGCCTCACATTGCATAAGGAGCCCATAATTGCTTTCCCAAGTGCTTTTAGCATTCTGTCACATAATTTAAGTCTAGAGAGGGGACTATTTTTAAGTACTGTGACGCTCTTTTACTATCTCCCTACATCTCAGCTTTGTCTTAATTATCAGTGTTACTCCCTTTCTAGCTTGACATCTGTTCCCCCGATGAAGGAACAGAATAAAGGACTTAAGATTATACCGTGTGCCTCCAGCACTCATTGTTGTCCTTATTCCAAGGACAGTTTTCTTTAAAAAGACATTTTTCTCAATCTTAATTCTTTTTAGAATTTAGTCTTCCTGACACTCTTTTAACAGGTTCGTGGCTCTTAGATATGTGTTCCCTCCTTTTATCAGCCATGCAGGTCTTTTTAAAAGTTTTCTTAGTTTTTTTAATTAAAAGGTGAATATATGCTTATTTTTAATAAAACAGCAGTATATATAGGATAAAAATAAATGCTCCCACCTCCAGCTGTAATTCCACTTCCAAAGACTTGGTGCAGACTTCCAACTCATGCATGTCCTTTTTCAGTAAGCCTAGAGAGCAGGCTATAGGGTCTTCACTCTTTGTATGTCTCTTCTTTTTTCTTCTTCATTGGGTTTTTATTTGTTATGATTGTATCATTAGAACTGGGAGCCTCTGGTCTCTCTCGAGCCATCTTCTCTTACAAAGCTGCCAGACCTAGGCTCGCTGAACTTTTAGAAAGTTCTCGAGTGAAGAAAAAAATCACCAAAGTACCTAAAGGCTGCTTAGTCTCTAAAAATAATCTGTCCTTTATACAATCTGTTCTGTCTCTGAAAGGAAAACCCTTTGGCCTTTCACATTAAACTCCTACGAAACACCAAGTGTTCTTCTTTTATTACCAAGAATTTGGGGATGTGAGATGGAAAGAAGAAAAAAATCTCAGCTTTCATCCCTCTTTTAGCCAACTGGCACTCAAGAAAGAGGGAGAAAATCATCAACTAAGATTATAGCAAAAAACACACCTTGAAGTTTATAGAAGCATTGAATAGTTCTAGTATTTATGCTCAGATTTTATGTGTGTGTTCATTTCTTTATATATCCAATCGCTTATTCAAATCTTTCATACCTTGTGACTTTCTGTTTGAATAGAATAAAAAAAAAAAATCCCACAAGGACTCAGAGGCAAAAAATATACAAATCAATTTTCACTGCAAAGTAAAGGAGATGTTACAGTGGAGGATTCCTGGACTGAATGTCAATATTATGACATGGTGTGAGTGTGTTTCGTGTTTGGTAATTGCAATCATTGTTGCTTGGTGTCAGTTTATTTATCTCTTGTAAAAATAAAATACAGTGTTAAAAAAAAAAAAAATCTTTCATACCTGGGATTCCAAAGTAAAAAAGGCACAGTTCTTGCCCACAGGATGCTCACAGTCTAGTGGGGAAACAGGCGGGCCACCAGATTATGATGACGTAGTATATTAAATGCTTAAATCCAAAGACGTTTAGATATATAGGTCGAATGTCCATATTGTCAAAAAAGATTTTACCTAAAGTTGAGTTTTAAACAATAGGCAAGAGCCCTCCAGAGGAAGGGTTGGGGAAAGGGACTCTAGGAAGTCAGTGGTCAGAAAGATCATCAGTCCCACTGGGAATTGCTATAAAATACAGTCTATCTATGTGACTACTTATAAGGGCATAGATGTCTTTTTATTTCATTTTTATTCAAACATAAAGGTAAGAGAAGAATATTCCAGTGTGCTAATGTCAATTCTATTCACCCAAAACTCAATGGCATTTTTGCCTATGCCCACACAGCTCTTGTTTCTATCTCTTTTATAATAGTTAGCACATTCCAGAGGCCCTGTATTATGTGGGTTGTATACATATCTGCCTCTCCCACTGGTATTCGAGCTTTAGGGCAAGAATAATAAGTTTTCCCCTCATTTTATATCCCTCACATCACCTAATTCCTAAGTGGGTTCTTAAGAAATGCTTATTCAACTTAAGCATTACCTGGTTCACCAGTCTGTGTAAGGCCATTTGTGTTTGACCAAACCAAACCAGCACGAATGATAGCCACAACAGCAACAAGAAAAGGTTACTCACCAAGCAATGGACAACACAGACGTTTTTGGGATTCTGTAGTAGCCAGTTATACATATTCCGACACACAGCAAAGAGGTTGTGCAGACTGGGGGCCTGCCTGATGGGCCAACTGCATTCTGAGACCTAAAGGAACACAGCGGAAGGAAATGAATTTGCCAAGCGACTTCCTCTCCATGGGCAGGTAGCACACCAAACAACTTCTGGAAGTGACACTACATTCTCTTTTAATACAGCAGAAAGATTTGGGAACAGGGTCCAAACACAGAAAGAAGAGTTTAATCCTGCAATTTTTTTAATTTAAAAATTCTGTTTTGGTAAACATATTTTGAAATATTGGGGTGGCCAAAAAGTTCCTTCGAGTTTTGGTAAGCTCTTACGGAAAAACACGAACGAACTTTTTGGCCAATCCAAAACATTTTAAATTAAACTAGATGATTTAACATACATATTTGGATTTTTAAAGGTTCCAATATTTGGATTTCAAAGGTTCAATGTTCCACTGCATTTAATTTCTATTTAGTATAAAATGTTTTGACCTGCCTACTAGATGCTTAATTATAGGATTATATTATAAATCCTGCACTATCCCTAAGTTTATCCAAGACGATAAAAGTGAAAACACGAAAAAGTGCTGCTGAATAAGCTAAAGATAGGCTTTTTCAAGGGTTTTATTTCTTCCTCTTTTAATGAGGGAACCTACAACTCCATGGGGGCAACCTCTAGCATTTTCATTCATCTAACACACGTTCATTTTAACACATTATAGGATATCAGCTATGTTCCTAGAATTCTGCTTGGCTCTGATCTGTACAACAGTCATATAAGACAGGTACTAATATGATCTCTATTTTGCAGATAAGAAAACTGACTCTCAGAGGTTGTCTTGTCTGACGTCACACTGCTGGTCAGTACCAGCATTGCAACCCAGGTCTTCTGAGTATAAGTTACTTTGATACAACAGTATACTGGTTGAGATTATCATTTGCCTCAAAATTCTAGGCATGAGCCTCAATCGATTAGGTATTTATTAATTTAACAGTAAGGAAAAATTTAGGCAAATTTCATGACCTCTCTAAGCCTTTCTCCATAAAATGTCATGAATGATACCTACCTACCTGCCTCATAGGGTTGTGGCTACTACATGAGAATGTATTTCAAGGGCTTAGCTCAGTATCTGACATACACAAAGTGATCAATTAATACAGGCTATCATTATTATTATTATTATTATTTTATCAGGTAACTGCCAGCGCAAAGCCCTAAGGTCAGATAGAGCTAGCTATGTTTGGAAAAAATGAATGAAACCGTATACGGCAAAATCATAGACTGAAGGGTCAGATCATACCAGGCCTTGTTAAGAACTGAGAGAAGTATTTAAGAAGGAGAGTGACTCTCGCATTTTCCAAAGACCTCTCAAGGTCCAGGATGGAGAAGAGATATGGATGACACAAGACGAAAGTCAGAGAGTGCAGTCAGGTAGCTATATTAGGAATCTAAGTAAGAAATGATGGTGGCTTAGGCTGGATGAGTGGCAGTGGGACACACAAAGACTTGAGGGATTCAAAACATAGAGAGGAAGTGGAATGCCTGTACAAGACTCAGGGATTGATCACAGGGTGACAGTGCATGAGTGTGGAGGGGGAGGAATCGAGGATGACTGCTAGGTTTCCAGCCTGAATGGCTGGATAAAAGGATAAAAGGATGGCAGGTGCCACTGGCTGATACAGGGAATTCTGGAGAAAACAACAGGTTTTTTACAGATGGTGTCATCAGAAAGTGCTCTGCAACACTAATACCACTGGTCTAAGAAAACCCAAACGTCCCAAATTCTTTACATTTAAGAGTGGGGAGAGAGAGACAGGAATAATCTGTTTGGTTCATGCTTTTCTAGTAACTAGATAATAACTAGTCAAAATATAAGTGGGAAATTATCTGTGGTCTCTAGAGCTGACACCTGAAAGCAAACACATGGAGTTTCTCTCTCTCTGTGGCTGCCAAAAAACCCATTCTTTTTGGTTAATTTGTAACTTTTTTCCTACAAAATGATTGTGGGTAGTGTCAGGGGGCCTTCCAGGTTATTAATTTTCCTAGACCTTTGAGAATGACAGGTATAGTTTATTAAACAAAGTAGAGGAAATGCCTAACAAAGCTACCAAACAATCCAGGGTGACCCAGTATTGGGCCTCTGTCGATTTAAACTCCATAACAGCTTGCCCCTTTCACCCAACATGATTTGGGTCTATTTCTGGCCCATTCTTTATCCTCAGATAGATTCCCCAATGACAAGTTCTCAAGGAATGGAAATAATATATTGATTAAAAACAGAATAATTGGGAAGAAAAATTTTGCCATCAGAGGAATTGCAAAATGTACATTTATACAAGCTGCTTCCTGCCTGTGATGTTTTTCCTTCCCTTGGTAAATTTCTATTCATACTCCAAAGCCGAAGTTCAAGTGTTCTCTTGTCTCCGACAGTTTCTCTAACACCCAGGCAGAAGTGCTCAGTCAAGTCATCTTTGTCCATTTTCATCTGTTATAGCTTTCACCAGTAGAGCAAAATGGTGAAGCCACAGTTGGGTTTTCACCTTAGCTTTACCACTTACTACCTGATTCACCTTAGACAAGTTGCTAACCTCTCCAAGCCTCAATTCTCTTGTGTGTAAAATAAAAATGGTGGTAAGAATTAACGAGCACAATGTAAACACAGTTAGTGCCAGCTTATTGTATTCAAATTAACTGTTTATGTCTGTCTCCCCCTCTAGACACTAAGCTCCATGAGAAGAGTAGACCATTTTTCATTTTTGTAACCCAAGTCCAGAGTCCACGTGCTAGTCCAATGGCAGGCACTCAGTAGGTATTTGCTGAGTGAATCAATGAGTGAAAGAACGAAGGAATGAACCCTATTTGGCAATGTCTCCTTTTTTTTTTTTTTTTTGCCGTACGCGGGCCTCCCACTGCTGCGGCCTCTCCCGCCGTGGAGCACAGGCTCCGGACATGCAGGCCCAGCCGCTCTGCGGCACGTGGGATCCTCCTGGACCGGGGCACGAGCCCGGGTCCCCCGCATCCGCAGGCAGACCTCCAACCACTGTGCCACCAGGGAAGCCCAGCAATCTCTTCTTATAATAAGATTTGTCTTTGTCTACATGTAAAATATCTTGAGGAAGGAACCGATTTTGTTGTTTTTTTAGATTGTGACCATGTAAAAGTGTAGGAAATTTGTTTTCTCAGGCAGTATTTTTAAACCTTTTAGAAACTGTATGTCACTCCTACAAACACTAAATGTCAATATCTATGAGTCTCAGCTAAAAGCTGGCTAAACTGTTCTTAGCACAATAGGCTAATTGTTCAGAATCATTAAATCAATCAAGTAAATAATATTAATTTAAAGTACTGCATAATTACATATTTACTTGATATATAATTATACTCCATTAAGCAAACATACAATTAGAATGTTTTAAAAGCATGTGCTCTGTCTAAAGGGGAAAAACATTTAAGGCATAAACAAAATCAAAAAAAATTTTTAAATGAATTCAATCCCTGCAAGCGATTTCTGTAGCTCTGTGAGATTCACAGCTTCATGCAATAAGCACAATCCTTGGGCAGGTGACACTTCATGATGCTGCCTCCAGTCTCTCTGAACCCCTCCCGGAGCTGTAGAGCATCAGAAAATGCCATATGGATTACAGGCTGCCATGACACCACCCAGTGGGAAAGGAGGCCAGAACAGCACCAGGGCTGGATGCCATTTGGTTTTCATCTTTCTGTCTCCCCAAGCACGAGAGGAGATGACAGAAGCATCCCATTTGCTGAGCCTAAGAGCAAAAGGAGCTATGGAGAATCAGACTGAAGAGCCATATCCAGTGTCTTAAGAATCTGACACCATTTTTGAAGGACAGGAGTACTTGAGGCAATAATTTATTTGGTATTTTATTATTATTAATGGTAATTATAGCTTCCACTTACTGAATGTTTACTCTAAGCCAGACATTGCTATCAAATGTCTTCCTTACAGCAAACGTAAAGAAAAATTTTCTATTTGTGAGATAGGAACCCTTGTTATCTCCATTTTATACGGGAGAAAACTGAGCTTTAGATGAGGTGAAGTAACTTACCCAAGAAGAGGAACAGCTGGGATGCGAATCTAGGATAATTTTTAAAATTCAAAATTTGTGCATATTATATGAATTTCACCTCAATAAAAAAATAATAAAAATTCGTATACTGTCTGATGATTATTAACTACAATTCCATCTTAAATTTGTGAGATAGTTATGGGATCAAGTGATGGCTATTTCTTTACCAAAGTTAATAAGACATTCAATTCAGTGAAGGCTGCAGAACTAGAATGTGGGACTTCCTGGTCCTCTGGCTCCCAGGCCAGGGATATTTTTCTGCCCCATTATTTCCTGTCCTTACACTGATGCACAGTGACAGAGGACAGATGAATATAATCTATAAAGTTTCTCCGCTATGGCCAACTCCCGTCACCAACCAGCAAACCAGAGCAGAAACAACTGGGAGCTATGGTGACCTCTTTGATGAATTCTGGAAGGAAAAAGGAAAAAAAAAATGTGACCTTCAAACAATCCTTTAAGAAACCCAAGTTGATCATATATTTTCCTAAAATTAAGTTCTTTGCAAAGAGGAAGAAATTCTACAAGATTATGCAGTTTAGAAATAGTCAAAATAAAAGAAGATTCTAAAAGAACCAGCTGGGTTTATCTTTTCAATGCTACTAACTGGGCTCCTTCAGCATACCCCTTCCTGGTTAGACAGAGGAAGGAGGCTCAAAGTGGCACTGGAATAGCATTATCAGAATGTAAGAACTTTAGGGCAGGCTAGACTTGGTGGCCATCCATCTGCTTTTCCATTTACTGCCAACAGCAACACCAAGAAATGTGTAAAGCAGTAGTTCCTGATATTCTAGGGCAGAGCTATAAAACCTTCTGTGCAGAAATGGAACCAGTGCACACACACATACACACAGAATAAATGGCTATAGTGTTTACTTGGGGGATGATGAACAAGGTTTGGGTATAGATAACTAGTGATGGTTACAGAATATTGTGAGTGAATTTAATGCTGCTGAATTGTACACTTACAAATGCTTAAAATGGTAGGTTTATGTTATGTGTATTTTACCACAATAAAGAAAAAATAGGAGTGAATACAGATGGTTAAACTCTCTGAAGCCCATGCATGGATCAAAATATACAGTGGAACCATGTCTTTTAAACTCAGATTCAGAACATCTGGCTTAGATGATGCATCTCATTGGTCTACAGGACTTCACTGTCAACATCAGGATGTTTATTTCCTCAAGGTAGATACTGGCTAAGAAGAGTCAAAACACTGACATTCAATATCTCCTCTGCAGTCCTGAATAGGTATTCTAGCACTCTGAATGAAGGGCTATCTGCCATGTTTTGTTTTGAGTCAAATCCTCTGCTAAAATTGAAACTAAACACAGAGTCCTATTTTAACATTCTGTTACATATGCAAATACTAAGGAATTGCTATTTAATTATTTCATATGATTCCTGTCAACCCATGTGGTTTCTAAGCCTAAAAGTGAATCAAAATACAGAATGATGCCCCTCAAAAAAGTAAAATCTTCCTAGAAACAGCCTGTCTCTGTCACCACCATCTTTATCTCCAATCACACGTCACATAACAAAAAGGTAAAATGACTGAGTTCAGGGTTCAAGGCATAGAGATATAGACACAGCTGGACTCCTGTGAGTGTATAAATAAAACCAGTCTTGTGTTTGGTCTTTTCCAACAGTGGTATTTATAGAAGCCTTGGCCATCTACATTTATTAAAATAAGATTTAGCTGCAGACCTAGCACTCCACTGGTCTGGAAGGAGGAGAAAATGATTTCAGACCTCAAGGACTGGAAGATGAGAACCAAGAACACTTTTCTAAGTCATGCAACAGTGGGATGCAAATCAATTTGCGGTGTTAGTGCTGGGAAGAGAAAGGACTAGGAACTTGAAAAGAGATGTAGCCACATCAAAAACAGAGCTAAGGGGCTTCCCTGGTGGCGCAGTGGTTGAGAGTCCGCCTGCCGATGCAGGGGACACGGGTTCCTGCCCCGGTCCGGGAAGATCCCACATGCCGCGGAGTGGCTGCGCCCGTGAGCCACGGCTGCTGAGCCTGCGTAACTGGAGGCTGTGCTCCGCAACGGGAGAGGCCACAACAGTGAGAGGCCCGTGTACCGCACACACACACACACACACACACACACAACAGAGCTAAGATGAAAATACTAAGGCTGTGGGACTGTCCTAAGATGCAACTGAGGGTTGAGGGAGCTAGGTCAGAGGGTCCTCTTCCAGTCCCCAGAGTTCTGGGACTATCTATAAAGGGCTAAAGGTGCAGTGCAATCCTGCATTTTAGGGGAAAGAATTGGAAAAGCCTTGTGGTATGTGGAAATCCTCCCCTTAGCGAAATTTGGCAAACAAAGAAGGGGTGGGGGTGTGGCATGCGTGGCCTTTCAGGGAGTGGGAGCAGCTCATGCAAAGAGACGGTGCGTCTCCCCTGGTAGGAGCATGGTTCTCAGGCAGCGGAGAACAGTGAAAGATGAGCTAGAGAGGCACAGAGGCCAGATCATGCGGAGCCTGGTAAGACACAGACTACAGTTCACATGGAGAAGAAATAACCCCACCGCTTTCACCTAGACAAGACTCATGCATCAAGGTCCAGCTCTCACTGCTGTCTCCCTTTACTAAACTCCCTCAGTAGGTACTGTAAATATTATTGTCTTTAGAACGTCCTGACTTCTCTCTCCAACTAGGCTTAAAGAATAAGAATCAAACTTTTTTTAGTTAATTAATTAATTATTTTTATTTTTGGCTGCGTTGGGTCTTTGTTGCTGTGCACGGGCTTTCTCTAGTTGTGGCGAGCAGGGGCTACTCTTTGTTGCGGTGCACAGGTTTCTCATTGTGGTGGCTTCTCTTGTTGCAGAGCATAGGCTCTAGGCATGCGGGCTTCAGTAGATGCAGCACACGGGCTTCAGCAGTTGCGGCATGTGGGCTCAGCAGTTGCGGCACGTGGGCTCTAGGGCACGCGGGCTTCAGTAGCTGTGGCGCATGGGCTCAGTAGTTGTGGCTTGCGGGCTATAGGGTGCAGCCTCAGTAGTTGCGATGCACGGGCTTAGTTGTTCCGGGGCATGTGGGATCTTCCCAGACCAGGGATAGAACCCGTGTCGCCTGCACTGGCAGGTGGATTCTTAACCACTGCGCCACCAAGGAAGTCCCAAGAATCAAATTTTTATTTGATATCTGTGTGTTCAACAATTCTTGGCAGGCACATTCAATCTTCTGAGAGACATTTCTTAGCCATGCCAGGCACCGTTCCAGGTAGCAAATAAAATTAACGTGTTCCCAGCTCTTCTAGGGCAACTGAGAGCAGTCTGGGGCAGATGTTCCATATGCAATTCCTGGTTTCTTTGGTAAGACTGTTAAATCTGGTCACAAAATACATAGTTACACTAATTGATGCCTTTCTTTAAATATCTTTGTAAAAGAGCTTGCTTTTATAAATCATATATACATATAAGAGATACCTTTATATGCATGAATGCTTCTATAGTGATATTACATCTTTATTTACTTCCAGAGGGAAAATTTTTTCAAGATTAAATAAAATTTCTATGAAATATTATACAGGATGTTCCATGGTCCTTCAGTTATGAAAATGATGGCACTATGTGTATCACTGAGTCACTCTGCTGTAGAGCAGAGATTGGCACAGCACTGTAAATCAACTATGCTTCAATAAAAACAAATCAGAAAAAAGAAAGAAAGAAAGAAAATGATGGCACTGAGTCTCCAAACAAGAAAAAATCAATTCAAAATGCTTGCATCTGAATTAGAAATAAAATACCCACATTTTTGTTGGATGCTAATTCACTTGCTCTGAATTAGGTAATAGATGGAATAAGAGGTGGAAGGGCAGTTAACTACAGGGAATATTAAAGAGCTGCATTTGAAATCTCCGTTGTAGAATGGGAATTTGGACGAAACCACTTTAGAATGGTTTTATCAGTGCTTCTCAGAGAGTGGCTCGCAGGGCAACAGCAGAAGCAGCACCAGGAAGTTGT